TTGCGTTATGTAATGAAACGAAATTCACTGTTTTCTACTTTCACTTCAGTTTTTCAAACACACTAAGAAAGTCCCCAACAAAACAAAATACACTGCAGCCTCCACGGGAGGTTTCAGGGAGCCTGTGTTTCCCATGATTAAAATTCTCTTGGCAGTATTTTCCATCAGTTTATTTCAATATTAAGACACATAAAATAACACATAAGTATTCCTTTCCAACTGGAACTCATTGCTCCAGAAAGAATTTCAGCAGACAGAAATGTAAAATTAAAAAACAATCTCCAATTACTTTATGAAAGCCTTGCCCACTTGTCTTCAGAGCTCTAACTATAGCTCTCACAATTAACTAAAAAAAAAAAAATTCCATTTTCAGACTTCTATACGTGCAAAATCGCTTTACATCCGCACTACAGGAATGACTATGCTCTCCTAAACCCTGGTGAAAATAAAGTCACTTTGCATCTAAGCTGAAGCTGCTTTTTTAATCCTATTTTACATTACAAGCTATAGGAAATTACTCATCTAACTAGTAAATCCTCCAGCATCCTTGACATCGGACAACCGAACAAGCACTCTTTAAAAAATAAATTTAAAAAAGAAGGCAAAAGGAAATTTCAGGTCGCCGATCTGTAAATTTACACACACATATAGGCATGCGGTGTTCACGCTTTCACATTCTATAGGAAATCAAACATTTCTGCCAGGATTTTATAAAGAAGTTTAAATCCCGTTTCAACAAGGTACTTCGCCACGTGCCCAGCTTTTAAGAGCAGAACATCCCACTGCTCGGTGCCATGTGGTTCAGTACGTCGCTGCAGCAAAGCTTTAAAAATAATCACTAACACATGGAACAGTAAGAAACGTGTAAAGCCATTTGACATTACAAAACTGCATAAAAATGCACAGAATTATTTTTTTTAGTGCATTAGAACACCTCGACAAGCAGCCTAGAAAAGATCGTTTTCTACCAAAAAAAAAAAAAAAAACAAAAGGGAGGGGGATTTTTTTTCCTATGGGATCACACAGCTTCCATGCATATTCAGCTTCTTCCATTACACAGTACAGAAAATATGTTTGCTAATATATCATTTGTGGTGCGTATTCAAAGCAACAAAATGGAGAAATTAAGGCTTCTGCTCGCAGAAAATTAAAATATAATTTTCGAGCGGTTTTTAGTCTTTCAAGGTGATTAAAAAAAACAAAACAAAACTCAACAATCCTTTTCCATAACACGGGTGGGGAGTAAGAAACCTCACATTAGGACAACTTCAAAACACAAACTCTTCCCCAAATCCACGCAGGTGACACCCTCTGAGAAAGCGGCTCCCGCAGAAAGCATTCGCATCCACCTCAGCTCACTGGGCGACTTCCGAGAGGCCACAAAATACACCAAATAAAGCCCTGCTGCAGAGAACATGGTTTATTTTTACCGACTTTTTTTGGTCTTCTCTTCTACATTACTCCTTCGCAGCTCCCATTACAAATCTCCCATTTAAAGGCCTCCGAATATACATTTAAAGCAAAGCTTAGCTGAGATCCAATGCAACAAACTACAAACCTTTATGAAATAAGGACGCTTTAAAAAAAAAAACACCAATCTGCAGAGCCTCTTTCCTCATGTTATTATCCAGGAAAATCATCTCCATTTAATGAAAGTCATATTTACTTCACACAGCTCTTCGAAAACCACAAGGAACAAAGCCCAAACTTCTCCTTCGCCACGTTTCTGCTCGTTTTTCACGGCCCCTGAAGGACGGTGCCATGCACAAAAATTCTCACAGGTGTTTTAACACCCACGATTTTCCACAGGCTCCAGCGTTTATCCCCAAACATTGACACGAGCGTGGGTGAGTGACCCACCCCTCTAAGGAAACACAACTTCCGAGACTTGAATGACAAAGCTCTTCAAGACGTACAATTTCAGAAGAATTCAGTGTCATAAATACCTTAATTTCACAGCGTCACAAAATTGGCCATTTCCACTTATAATAAAGCTGTAAGATGATCTCCAGTTTGCTAAAACCCCTGAGAAATACTACGGAAATTGCACGTAGTAATTCTTCAGACAATAACAAACCATCCTGAGTCATTCCAGACAGATCCCACTCTAGATATATAGGGAATTTGGTAAATCAATCTGGGGGTGACGCAGCTGGATTTTACCACGCAGGGTATGGGTAGTAAAAATAAATTTCTGCCTCCTCTAGGTATGGGAATCCTGAATATATTGCACAGCGAGTGGGAGCACCTTACCAGTAAAAAGGGCGGTGAGGTAGCTTCCGCTCACCACAGGGTACGAGGGGTTTACAGATCTACATTGCTAAATTTAAAATGTGTTAAAAATTAAACAGGAAAGTCCACTTGTGCTTTAAAGACTTCAAGGCCAGGTGGAGTTTTGCTTTACAAAGTAAAGCTACGGTTAAATGTTTATTAATATCTAACTCATTGCTTAGAAACACATAAAACTCCTTTCTGATCCTTCAAAATGAAACACACTATCCACCGCATTCCATTACTTGCTCTATTGAATCTGAATTTACTGTATTAATAAGAAAAAAAAAGTTTATTTCCCTTTCCTCCCAGAATATCGTCTAGTTTTCCATTACTACAACTAGAAATTGCCAAGAAAATGAAATGCTGAAGTGCAGCAGACACGGCTTATCTTCCAAGTAAATCTCAAAACTTTGTTCCAGTGGGATCATATTTAGTCCTCTCAAATTCAGAGCAGTTATTCATCCCGTCTCGACGTCCCAACAATGACATTTTATAAATATTACGAGTTTCTTGGACCATTCTGCAACGAGCAAAGGAGCACCGGAAGATTTTTTTTTTCCCCTGCTTGGGATTTTTTTTTTTAAATCTTAACTGTAACCAGGCATCCTTTCAATTCATCTTCTCTAGTTTGGGGTTTTTTTGAGACCTCTGGAAGTCTTCACCAATTTTTTTAAGCTGTAACAAGTGTGAAAATCTTTGACAAAGGGTTGTCTTTATCCAAGTCTTAAGATCTCATTGAGAGAGAGGTGTTAGAAATAAAGAAGCCTTTAAAGCAGCCTAAAAGTAGTCTCAAATATTCTAGAGATGCCTCTCTCTACCTGCTCTCCAGCCAAGACAGGACAGTAATTAAAAGAAGTAAATAGATCTTTGCATGGTTCTTTAAACATCGGAGGGGTGGAGAAATCAGAACAGGAGGAACTAATTTCCTCATCTTCCCTTCTGTACACTTTCCCCAGTGTCAGCCCATCGGACCCTTCCAGAAGGTCCAATGGTCAAGCAGGTAAGATTTTATGAGAATAATTAATTATCCTGATCAGAGAGTTACCCGTGGTAAAATTCCATTCATAGTGATCATCGAACACTAAGTATTTATTATACTGATATACTCATTTGCTTAATGAGTATTTTCCGGTTTGGAATGTATTTCAGTATGCAAAGGAAACTTTTCCAGCTCTGGGAACCCTTCTGAAGAACAGAACCCTTCACCAAACAGAGCCTAAAACTTTACAGGTACAATGGTAGCTTCTTGGTTTCCACTCTTAGGATGAATTTATTCTTAAAAAGCTCAATATCTGAGAGGCCTTTCAACATGAATTTTCCAATTATTAAAAGAAATTCAGCAATTAGCTCTAGTACTCTTCCCCCGCCCCATATGTCGTTTATAAAGCCACACAAATACAGAACTACCGCGGCTATTACAGCACCAAGGACTTGTGCATATCACTAGGAAATGCATACTTGGATTTTTTTTCTGTTTTTTTTAATTCTTCCAAGTCTACAATTTTTGCTGCGAGGCAAGAGGGAAAAATGGAAAGGCAACACATCAATCTTTTAAATGGCGGTGGCGATAGGGAACAAGAGGAAACTGGATAATGGTACTCAACATTTCCCAAAGTATTTTAAAAATGTGTCCTGTAAAAAGTAGCTGACCTTAAAATTTGCTTATTCCCTCACTTAAGCAAATAAAACATTCACCCCGTTCTCCAGCCAGGCAGGCAGCACCAAGGCCTCACGTTCATATATCCCCACTTTGTCTAGCTGGCACCTTACGGATGCTGCGCAGACACACCATGGAAAATAATTAACGCCGGCAACAGCATTCCCCTCGGATCTGTTTCGTGCCAACCTGGTCTTTTTACATTTCACGCCAGTTTACTTCTACATCAATGAATAACGCTTTGTCACGAAACACCTTATATTTTCACAGCCCGGGCTCACAATTCCTCACCATGCCTCAGAAAATGACCCGCAAAACCCACGGGACGGTCGCTTTGGGTCGGGTAAAGACGCGCAGTGGCCTTACCTGTCGCTGCTGGTACTGCTGCTGCTGCTGATGGAGTCGCTGCTGGAAGATCTGCTCCTGGATCCGCTGCCACTGGGCGAGCGGGTGGGTCTGGACGCCTGGCTGGCCAGCCTCTGCGGGGACTGGGTCCTGGACTGGGACGAATGCGGCGACCGACTCCTGCTGTGCTGGTAATTCCTTTCCGGCCTTCTGCCTCGTACCTCCCGTGTAATATCATCCCTGTAGATATCCCTGTGTACCACACTGGGCAATGTAAACTGCTCCCGGGCCCTAGGTTCGTAACGGGGGTCGTGAGCATCAAAACGGTTCGGACTTCGACTCCGAGAAGTATAATAGAGCCCGTGTTGTAAAGTCCGCTCTCGAGGATCTCTATAGTAATCCTGATCGTAATGTCTCGTCCGATCAAATCCTCCCGTCCCCCGCTCATGGTGTCCATAGGCACTATGTTCATAAGCACGCTCCCTGTTATCTGAAGCCCTGCATTTAGGAAGGGGGGAAAAATACTTCATCAGAAAGGGGCAAGCACAACTAAAAGCAAATCATGCAAACATTCACGTCAGCACTGAACTTATTTTTGCGACTGCTTCTCCACTAAATGGCAATAACCTATCAAGCAAACACTGACAAAAACGTTTTACTTTACTCCAACGTTATAGTCGTATACAATAAAGCTGAGCAATCATTTTGTTTTAATCACAATATCAGGCTTTCATGACCAGCATCTTGCCCACACAGGAAAAAATACTGCTTTCCTGTGCAGGATCCTCATTTAAGTTGCATTTGGTTGGGTTTTTTTCCTTTTTCCTTTAAATTCAGTAAATGAGGAAAATTTCATGTTTGTGCATATCACAGCTAACTCCCCTCCCCCCCTCCATTTTTGCTAAAGAGCTTCAGAAATTCTTCTGGAATTTGGTAATTGCTGGAGCTCTTCTAATTATCCTTCTGCAAAAATGGCATCACAAATTGGGCTGTAGCCATGAAAGCCTCCGTGCAAAGCATGACCCAGAGGTAAGAAGCTGCTTTCAAAAGGGGTAGCATAACCCACAGAGAAGGCCCAGAAAATTAGGGGTTTTCTTGTTGCTGCCCTAAAATATTTCATCCTCTTAGAGGGAATTTTGCTTTTATCAGACTGTTACACTCGATTCTCGTCAAAGTTGCACACCCTGAAGAAAAACCTGGATTAGTTATGTCAGAATACTTAAACTGCAAGGGTGCAGGCCCCCAAAAGATACTAAGACCCTACAAATGGAGTATAAATTCAATTTTTCAGTAGGCATTTTTGTTTGTTGAGACTGCTAGTGTTACTGCAATCACAGAATTTGTATCTTCACAAGCACACTGCTTTCAAGTAGCTAAGGCCCATTTTGTTTCAGTATTTCGAACATTTTCAATGTCAACTGAGAAAGGCTCTACGTTCTGAGAAAGTTAGTGGGATCTCTCAAATAAAGAGATAGTAAAACTGACAGGTAAAGTTAAAAGAACATTACAAATAGTTTAGTAGTCTAATTTAGACAAGTACCAGGACGGTATGTCTAAGTTACGTCCACAGAATGAAAGACCAAGAATGATTACGTTGAACGTTTTAAAAAACACTTGCAGAATTCAAAGTATGTCAGGGTAGCCGAAGTTAATTTAAAAATTTAATTATCCATCTTATGAAGGACATTTCAACCTTCCTTTTTTTTTTTTCAGCCCTCTCTCTCTGATTCTTCCTTCAGAATCAATTATTAGTCACTTCAATCTGAATTCTAATAACCCAATTCTGCCTTGTGCTTCCTCCTCCTCTCCTGCATCACAGGACTGTCTTCTACTTACAATGGCAGAAGTATTTCAGGTATCTTTTATACACTGAAAATGGGATTTGAATCTTTCTTGATTAGCATCTCGGGAAGTTCCTGCCATGCCTTCTCCAATGAATCACTAGATCTTTAATCTGCTAAATATATTCATCCGCTGTTGTTAAATTAGAACTCATTTTCCAGCTTTCCACAGAACTAGCTCATGTTCTGCCTGCATTTCTCTCAAATTACATGTAAGAAACTACCTAACCAGTGCAACAGAATGTCATTAACTTATACATCTGCTTGAAATTCATTGTTGCCTTTCTATTTTCATTACCTCTTGCTCGCAACAATGGCATTTTGAAAGATATTTCAGGATCTGGCACAGAAACACGTCTCTCCCCCCCCCCTCCCCCCCCCTCCCCTTTGAAGGGCCAAGATCAACAATTTTACAAACGATTGCATTTAGCATCCTACAAAGTGTTAATCAGTGAAAGCTGATTTAATGAGGTAAGAGAAAAAGCAGTACTTTCTACAGGGTTACTGCTATATAGCTGACATAAAAGAACGAAGTCCTTATCCATGAAAAGGACACAGAAGACAGACAGAGGAGCTAGCAGAGCTGAAAAATCTAATGGCTACAGTGCTTTTTTTGATTTATCTATTAGTACTAAGTACTACTGGAGTTAGTGGAAAGAGAGGGTTTGACTTGGGTTAGGAGAGGGGCTAATATACACAGGGCAGGACATACCAACCTTTTCCAAGTGTGGAAACACGACCTATATTCCCAATTAAATCTAGGGAGAGAATTGTGAACATAACTTCCCCAATTTTGGCCCCTCTTACAGGGGTAATCCACCTTCTTAATGGGCAAGGGTGTCAAATGATATTTTAGATGAACCAACAAGAAAAAAAAAAATCTTAGTGACAAGACAAAACCAAAAAAAATTCCACTGGAAGGAAGTAGTCCCAGACTGAAACTGTAACTCTGAAACCCCCAGACTTCTTTCTTGAGACAGTAGGCACTTAAATAGATCCATTATTTTTAATTTCCAGCCCTATGTCTGAATCAAGCAGCTGGTAGAAGATCGCCCAATGCACGAGGGCACTCATCACTGCTGGCCAGCAGGCATCCTCTAGCCGCCTTTGTAACCATCCAGCCCAGTCATTTTTCACTGGCGTATCCACAAACTGGTATTAGCACCACGTCCTTAAAACTAAAGTTATGTTTAATGTGGAGTAGCAAAGAGCTTTTTAAGAGACTAGATAGTAATCCACTCCCCATGGCTACTGACGTCTTGACTGTATACCATCCAATAAATTCAAGGCAGTAGTTCTTATCCCAGCATTAAAAAAAAACACTATAATTTCCAAAATTTAGTAATGTCCATCATCTCTTTTTGCCAATACCATCAGAAAGAATAATCCCAATAACTTGGAAATAATGTAGATCCAAAATGGAAACATCACAAGCTGCCTTCAGTCTTCTCCATCCAAGCGTTATTTCCACGGCTAAGTGTTGTCTGTAGAATCCAAGGGGCTGCATCATTAAAGTCTACTAGAAATTTTGTGGTGAAAATCCAATTAACATACCAACTGTGTACAGTGAGAACTGAGAACTAGGCATCAAGCTTTCACAGAATTTTAGGTTCTAGTATTCCGAAGATACTCCACAGAGAACTTCACCACATGTTGTAGAGTAAGATAGCTCCATCTGGCAGCAGGGATACATCCGAGCAAGGCCTTAATATTATCCAAGAAATGGAATCATTACTTCTAGAAAAGAGTAACTCCAATATCGATGCTGGCCAAAGGAAATCTTCCATCTTAAAACCACCTTATTTCAAGTGTAGATATCCAACCAGCTGCAGAAAACATCCTCTATGGATCCACAAGGTACCAGCCACTGGGATAGAAATCACTTCCGTTTCCAACCCAAAATAGGAAACATAGATAATTCCCAAAATTTTAAATCCATCTGGGGGCCCTAGATACGAGTTTGTGTTTCTCACCATATCAAATACAAAATACCTGCCTAGAGAAACCTTGGAACTTACCCATCAAGTCTCCGCTCATAACGTCCTTCCCGTGCATGAAGCGATGGTGGGGGGCCATAAGTGGGCCCCCCACCACCTCCTCTGAACCCAGAAACCTCTCTACTACGAGATGCTATGGAAACTGTATCATCCAATCCCCGAGCAGCACTGGGAATGGTTCCTGGTTCATTATAATCCGTCCGTAGGTCTCTATCTCCCATTTTGTTGACAGAGTTGTGTGCCTTCTGCGCACTTTTGATGTCCACAAAATCCACAAACGCTGCCACTCCGCCTTCCGACCCCCTCTTAGGGAGTATTTTGACACTTTCGACACGTCCATATCTGGAAGAAAAGCAAAGCAGAGCACATACATTAGTGCTAGTAGAAAAAGACCGCATTTAACAGCATTGCCTCCTGCAAAATCAACATCCATTTCAAACCATTTGCCCTTCCCATACGGCAGGAAAAATCAATCTCAAAGCACGGCAGAGGTTGGAGGACGAGTTTTCAGAAAGAGAAAAAAGCCATTTGCAGAGGGGAAAAAGCCATTTAAACTTTCCATCATTATATTTAAAACTGCTCTCTTTTGGTTGGCCTACAGTGAGATCGCCCTTTTTAGAACAACAGAGCAACAGCAGCTGAAGAAATAGAAAGGTATTCACAACTAGAGCAGCCCTTCTCATTTTTCATCTGACGAGCAAGACATAATTAAAACAAAACTGTGTCACAACAAGTAGAAGTAAAGACGGCCCGACAATTTTCTTAAGAAAACAATGACCTTGACACAGCAACTCCACTACTCCGGTCTATATTTAATCCATTCAGCGCTAGAACAAGAGTCTTCATTCTGATCCTTGTTCCCGATCTCAAACCCGTTTCCTTACAACAGCCTCGCAGGACTCTTTTGAAGTGTGACCGACAGAGGCACCCCCGGACCGGGGTGCTTCTGGGGTTCAACTTTGCATCCCTGCCCCGTGGACCAAGTCACACAAGAGGCATGCTGAAGAAAGCTGACGGGAACGTGACGCCACCCTACTTAATGTATGTTAAGTAATTGCAACACAGGCACTTACGGATGAGTAAATGTCTACATAAAAAAAAAAAAAAAACAACAAACATGTTTGTGCACACAGAAAGCATGATGTAAAAATGTTTTCAAAATAACTTGCATCAACCCATAGCAAGAAAGGATAAAATGAGCAGTATGAACACAGCAATATTTTAAAACAGCCCAGAATTGCCAGTCGCATTTTGGTTGCTCGTTTCTGTAAGCCAAGAGATTTTGAGCAAAACAGGTAAGGGCTTTTAACTGCAGTTGCTAATCCACAACAGAGAAGCAAAAAGCGTATTTTTGAATGTACTGACAAATGAGAAAGGGACACATAAATAAAAAACTAAGCAAGAAATACTTGTAATCTCAATGAAGAATTATTGCCAAAAAAATTTTCTATTCACAAAGGCAGCACAACACTGAACAGACGTAAACAGATTTTAAGAAAAGCTGTTTTCAGCTATATACGCAGGAAAAAGCTAATACAATTGCCTGTCTGAGGAGCAGATGCTGTCACAACCTGCATCTGACTCCGTTTTATGCATGGCTTTCCATACACCTTAAAATTTCGTCATCCAACAACAATGACTAATCCTTAAACACCATTTGAAAACCTGCCTCGCTGACTGCTGGCTTCTCATTCCAACCTGACCTACTACACTTCATATATTATCTGGTTTGCATTTAGATATCATTTTTCTTTGGCTTATACTCCACTGAATACAGCACGCTGTCCGTTCAAGAATATGTGTGCAAAACTAGAACATCTTTCAAGTCAAAAAGTGCCTTGGTAGGAATAAAAAGGCAAGGTCACATACGGGGCACGTCCTTGCCCCTATGCTGCCCAGAGCAGAGCTTGCCACCTTTGTACTCGTGGGTACAGGACGGTGACGCTTAATTCTCAGGAGCTTCCTAACCTGTGATACCAAACCAACGCACCAGTTATTTTTTATTCTAATTAAAAGCTGCAAGGAGCAAATAATAGCAAATGGTACTGCAGGAAGATACTTCTCAAAGTTTGCACTCTCCCAAGGCTGGGTAAAGTTGTCTTACCTTGAAGGCAAGATGTGGAAAGAGCAGAAAAGTAAAGATTATAGCTAATAAAATCTGTGTGAGGGGAAAAATGGCCTAATTGAATGTGGCATGTGTAAAGAGAGAAGAAACAGGAAAGGAAGCAGGGGGAAGGAAAACAGGAAAGAGATGATTTGAAAAAATGTTCATGCCCCGAATGAACCTGACAAAAAATATAAAAAATAATTAGGTATCTTAGGTACCATCACCCTTTAACATGCAATTCAGTGCCGGTTCTCTACAGACGACAAAGGGAAGATTTAATAGGACAGAGTGCTCCAACTCTCATGCCCACCGAGTTTTCCTTCTCAATAACGTAGTTACAAAGTCACTGGTGAGAACATGTAGTTCCCTTTTGCTCACTGTTTACATATTCCGTTTCTGGCAACACCAGCCCGTACTGTCTACAGTCTTCGGAGCGGGGGGAAATGGTATCTTAGCATTACTCAAAAAAAACTAAAATCCTAATTGACCTTCTGACTGCAGTCACCACAGCCTACTTTGTATGAAGTGCTGCCTGCCAGTTACATCAGAAATGAGCTCTGGAAGACTCTTCCCACTCATCATCCTGACAATTATGTCCTCATTCTGAAATCCCAACACATATATGTTATGGTAACATATGCACAGACCTCAATTATTTTTCTTTTGCTGCAGAAGATCCAGAATGTGTTAAAATGTTCAAATATTCGAGCTAATGCTGCCCAGAAAGCACTGAAAATACACAACATCGACATAATATGCTCCCCATATACCAACAAAATCACCCAGCAAACACACAACCCTTGCAGCCAGAGCTTAATTTTTGTATTGGGAAAAGTGTACTTTGGTTGCCATTAATTAAGACTTCCCCCCCCCCCCCAAATCAGAAATGGATGGGGGGGGCTACTACTGAATTCCACTTGCAGCCACGGTCCTAAATCATCCCACTCAGAGACAGCAGGTCTTAATCTGTCCGTTATCCAGATACATAAATATACGCCACGCTTTGGTGTCCTGCACCGTACCCTTGACGAGCCCTGAGGATAATCTGTGACAATCGTCTTTGCTGAAAGCAAGGGAGGCAGACGAGGGGAGGAGAAAGGCAGCGTAAGGGAGGATGAAAGAAAACCGAGAAGGAGAGAGCCCTGAGTATTCAAGGACAGCTGCTGGAAGAGGAAGGTTTGCATTTTCCGTGCCCCAACATGGTCCTGTGATTACACACATCCTTCGGTCCCCCACCGTGAAGATTAATCTGTCTAGTGATGTGATCCGACCCAGCCCCACCCGTTGGCGTCTCTCCGAGCTGCTCCAGTCTTGGCAGATGCTGCCGGGAGGAGGACCGCATCGAGGGGAGAGGAAGGGAGATCTGCAGTGCTGCATCACCAGACGGCTTTACTGCAGCAGAATAATACATTACAAGGGAGGGAAGGAAAAAAAAAGACACACACCAATACTTTCTGGAGGGCTGGGGGAGGAGAGGCGGCGATAACGCCGCGTTTTGTTACGCAGATCGCACGTTACAGCAAGATGGAGGCGAACGCGCCCCCGAGGAGCAACCTTTGTCCGGATCCCGAGGGCTGGGAAGAGGGGACAAAAGACAAGGGGAGGCATCGCCGCGACCTTTGGTAACGTTCGCAGAGCCTTCGCCTGGTATCTCGCTACCTGCGCGTCAGCCTTTTCCAAGAAGGCCGCGTTTCACAATCGCTGGCAGACCTAACAGAAAGCAAAGAGGCGTGTTCGCTCAGCTCCGAATCCACAGACCCTAACGAAAACAAGGCTTTTTAGTGCCTCTTCCCGTCTGCAACGCATGCCGATTAATCATTAGCTCCATACTGTAACGACAGCAGCCGAGGCCGTATTTTCAGAGGGGTTTACAGTTCAACCAGAAGCAGAGGAGATGAGGATGCACAAGAGCTGCTATGTCACCAAGCCCCTCCACCAGCACAGCACGATCGCAGCACCCAGCTGTAAACAAAGATCTAGCGGCCCGCTCAGAAAAAAAAAAAAGTTGCTCGATAATCAGTGCTCGAACAAAGCCACACTAATCCAGCTTTTCAGACAAAGAAAAGGAATTCATAATTTAAGCATTATCGGTTTATTCACTGTAGATCAAAGCACCTCTATAATCATGCAGCTGAAATGTCTCTGGGCTCTTGGCATGGCTGCTCGGCATGTTTCTCTCGCTCTCCAGCCCTTCCTCCTCCCCAGCTCTTCCTCCTGTACCGGCAGACAGTGCGGCCGGGTTGGGAAACGCAGCCTCCGCCAATACAAGGCCGGGCTGGTTCCTCCTCCCTGGGGGAGACATGTCACCCAGACATGGCCAAAGTCATCCCTCACCCCACAGCTTTCCCTGCACAGGGGCATCTGCACCTTGGGCACCCTCGCCTTTCCATTTCTAATTAACCATTTCATCTTGGGTGCTTACTCCAAACCTTCATTTTTCTGCACAATCTCTGCTATTCCCAAGAAAAAGCATTTTAAACAAAGGATGGACTAAGAGAGAGCCAGCCGGTAAATGTTTAGTAAGCAAATAGTACTTTTTTAGTAAGCAAATGTTACAGTTAGCTGCAGTATTTTATAAACTGATGAGGATCTTTACAGGATGATATACACACGATAGGAAAAGGTAGGTCGAAATCAGGGATTTGTGCTTTTGAAGTTAAACTGAACCCCACTTTAAATCATATTACCTCCCTATTTCCCAAGTTGAGCTCCCCCCAAGCTTGTGAAGACCCAACCGTTTTCAGTACTGCAGAATTCTGCAGGTCAGAAAAACTTCACCATATTTTTATTTAGAAGCCAGCACAACGCTACACTCCAGATACTACTAAATGCAAGACACGTTAGAAGATCAAAAATAACACTGGAGTTTTTTGTGCATGTTTCTGCGCCGCTCGTTAAGAGCATGATTTGACAAGACATCCTGATACAGCAGGACATCTGAATATTTTGGATTCACTTGGATTCACTTTGACTAAAGTCAGGTATCTTTAGCCATCTGAAAAGCATGGGTGATTTTTCCGTGCCACGCTTAAACTCCTTCCTCCTCCGTTATTATACAACCCATGCAAGCCCCAGCCTGCATTATTCAGTAAAACGTTCGCACAGCTTGAAGCTTTTCTTGGCCAATCGCATTCCTCTTGCTTTGTTGTTATTTCATAACAAAATAACGTGACCTGAAATGATACTTCTCCAGATGTCTGCGTCCCTTCTCCTTATTCTCCTAATCGGCCCAAATGCCCCATGCTAGGGGCTACTCTTCCCCCTGCACAAAGCAGATCTGCTCCAGATACAGGGAAATGCAAGATGCACAAATACCAACGCTATGGTACAGGAGGTTGCCATCGCCAGCTCCGTAGATGTTCTTAGCCTGCTGAAGTCTGTTGAACTCCCTTATCATCAGTTCTGGGGTCTTCTGCCACCATGGACATCCATTTCACCGTCCAAGAACTTGGTCCACCACAACAGTACATGCATCTACTTCCCATCCGTGTAATACAGAAAATAACACGCCAGAAGAGCAGCAAAACCAACGGCGCTGCAGTCTTACCAGCAGCAAGACACCGAGCCGTGGTGGCAGTTATCCTGAAGAATTCCTACTCCGAGTCAAGTGGAGTGTTCCCGTACCCCCAACGAACCGCTCAGGGAGCACCTCCCTCCCCTACCACCACCAAAAGCGGCGTTAAATATTCGTCACTGTAAAAGCTTGTAAAGCAAAGGGACTTGGGTCTTTACACAGGCATCTGCAAAGAATAAGGCACTGTAATTGATCACAACGAGGGCATTACTGTAATAAATAAAATACACCATAGAACAGTTATTAACATGCTTGGCCTAAGAAAATTACATACCACCCTGTTCCATGCTTCATATTCATTATAGCCAGAAACTTAAATTGCCACAAAAAGTATTTATGTGCTTCTAAGTATTTTTTTCCAGAAAGGGAATTTCATATCAAGACTGTTATGAGACAGTATTTCACCACTTTCAGACCTAAGCAGCACACGTCTTTGGAACTGCACTCCGCTTCAAGTAGTGCCAAATATCAGTTCAAAATCTCTGGTCAAGTATCATCGTGTGCCTATCATGAAGACTTGAAAGCTTACAGATACAGAAGAATAAAGGAATCTAAACAAAAAGTACTCAAAAATGCACAGACTGCATCATCAGGTTTGGGTCTTACCATAAATAGAGTAACTGATCTCTAACAGACAGCAAAACCAAAGACAGACCATAAAGAAATGTGTGCACAGGGCCGAGATGAAAATAACACAAGTGCATTGAAACGTATCTTGATAGAAACAACACGCAGAATTCCAGAGTACTGGAAAACTACACTTAAAATCAACTTCAGCAAACGTGGGGAACCGTCCCCTGATGAGCCACGATCGCTTGTCTTTGTAGCACTGTCACTCAACTCCGGGGAATTCGTCAAAACGGTATCTCAAATGCTTAACGACAAATATGGCAACGTACACACGACCGCCAGCCTTCGCTAGCAGCTGTGCTTAAGGGAGACCAAAAGCAGTATTTACTGCGAACAACTCGATGCGACGTCTCGGTACTGAGGGCTCCATCCAAAGCCGGCTGAACGCAGTAGCCTTCGTTCCCAAGGGCAGCAAGACCGCGCTCTGCACGGAGCTGGCACGCTAGAAGGCTCAGGAGACCAGAAATCCCTCACGTCGACCTGCACGCATTTCAGTTTATCTTGAAAATTGAAAACTGGCTATTCAGGATTGTGGTGAAAATACTGTGAATATTTATCTACATACAGGTACACACCCCTTCGAAGAGCCTGACAGCACCATTTTGTAACACTCCTCCAAACATGTAATCTTCCCCCAGTTTTCTGAAGAAATAGGTTTAAGTGACAAAGCCCACTGGGACGGACGGGGGTACCGGCACAAAGGCTGCCAGCAACGTATGGAGCACTTCCAGCAGCCTCTAGAGGAGGATTCAATGTATGATATTGGCTTTCCTTATCTCCAGCTGCTACATCGTGTTAAAGATGGCTAAAAATAAAACAAATTAAATGCCTCTCTAATTCTACCTTTCTCGGCACAAAATTGCTGTTTCCATAACGATAAGCCATCGTGAGCGGCCGGGATAGCGTTCTGGATGATCAGGAGTAGGAAAGCTCGTCAGCAAGCAATAAATCTACACGATGTAAGGCTTTGAAAACCTTTACCTTCCCAAAGCCAGGCAAAATAAAAGCTCCTCATATCACAGGGAGCACTGGTTTTCAAGCCATACTGAGAAAAGACCTTGTGACAGCAAATGATTCAGAAACATGCCCTAATTACCGAGCTCCCATAATTTTCTAGATTGCAATCTGAGATGCTTTAAAACCTGTTTAAGAGTGATCTTTATTGACTCTGCGACCTTTGGGGGGAGAAAAAACAATGTTCTTCGGGGCATTCTCAGCAGCTTTCCTCCTAGCAATAAAGATCTTCAGGGAAACCTCAAAATTCAGGACCAGAAACCATCAACCGGGTTACGGAGCTCAGCTTACATGACTGGGGTGAAACCTCAACATGATGCTCCTCGCTCTCCCCTCCTGCCCCACCACACAAATTACTCAAACCCAGACCACTTTGAGACTTTACAGCTCCCTTCAACGGGAAATCTCCCGACTCCGACTACAAATGGGGGTTTTGTTAATGAGATACAGCACGTGTTCCTGCCACGCACTGCAAACAGCTAGGGCTTTGTCTACACTCGTAATCCCTCCCTAAGAGATGACAAAGTAGGAAATTAAAAAGCTAGCATAGGCACATTCACTGATACTCCTGATACCTCTGTTAAAAAGCAACACGCTTGACATATCAGATAGTCCGGGAGATAACTCTGTGCTGAAATAAGCGCTCGCTTCTTGCTTTACAGCTTAGCTGAATGCTCCATTTTAAGGAATCACTCTTACTTTGTGTCTAATTAAGACATTTTATTTACGTCTTTATTGCAAAGTCACCATTTGAATGCTGCTGAGGTATTAATATACAAATGAAATTATTATGTACCACCAGAGAGGGAAGAAACAGAGTATTTAAAAACATTTATTCACGGTTGCTACTGTTGGTAGCAACTACTTCCCATAGCCAACAGAGCATGGTATTTTTCTGCAGCCCCCACTACAAAAAATTTTGTCACAGATAAGCCATTCTAGCACACACACAGCAGGTGAAACTCAAATATAGATACACTCGTTCCTTGAGATACAGATCAGTTCCACTGCAACACCCACACAACACAAAACAGCACTCAAAAGGAGTCCTAGCAACATTTTGACCCGACGAAGATGACAGAGGGGGAGATGAATCCATGCTCTGGACACCGGGATTACGTGAAGCAGCACGAATCAAAAAAAAGCCTCAGCTTGACCTCAGCAACATCTAGCTGGGTGGCACTTAATATCCTCGCCCAAGTCAGCAGTTCCGCTTGCCTGCAACGTCAGGCGAACCCAGCATTGCATCAGCCCGTCCGCAGGCTGCAGTCAGAAGGCAAATCTTGACCAAACTGTAATGAAGGGCTTCACGCAAAATTACCAAGTTAAAGCTGCGTAGAGTAGCCGAATGATACGGGTTCCTTATTCGCACTGCCACCTCAGCCAGCCAGAAAAGAGGCAGAAGCTCTGTTATTAAGGAACTTTGCCTAGCTGTCATTTCTGTACAATTATGGAGAAGCATGCAAGCATCCGTGGCAGGGCTTATTGGTATATACATATTAAAAAAAAAAAAAAAAGAAATCAAAGTGGCTTTGTGAGCAGAAATAATGAAGACTCATTTCTTATGGATGCATGTCTTGAGGTCGAATTCTCTGGCGTCCAATAACTGCCAGTTCCCATTGCAGCTTTTCCCACGGTCAGGAACACCTCTCTCCCATGTGGATTCTTTAATGTCTAATAAGGGTTGCACTCTTGCTGCAGCTTTTCTCTCCATGGGGCCACTAATCAGGTCTCTCTCCTCTATTAAAACCGCTTGTTTTCAGAAAACTCAAAGGAACGTTGTATCTCTGAGACCGTGGGTACCCCCTTCGCCCTGAAGTATAGCTGAAACTGGCTAACGGGTTCAAAATTGATTAGGGAAGATACAGATGCATGGCAAGATCACATCAGTCTTGCTTTCAAAGCAGATCAGAATAAATACGACTATTCATAGAAGCCCAAAGAGGTTACAAAAATTTGTAGAAACTCTGCGTGTTCAGCTGTGTTGTATCAAGTACGATGCACCGTGATTCTTTATCCTCCAACCTACACAGATGCGCGGTATCACGTTACTACATGCTAGACGCAGAGCCGCCGAATTCCAT